ATCAGTTCTCTGTTTTTAGGATTGGTTTTATTTTATTAGTCTATTAGTGTCTAAAGGTTATTTTCAATAAAATAATAAATATGATTTTTTTGGTCTTTGGATTTCCTACTTCTTTTCCATTGTACTTTAAGAAAAAAAAACCCAACAAACAAACCACCACCCCACCCCCCAAAAAAACCAAAACAAAAAAACAACACAAAAAAACCGACAAACCACCAACTCTTTAAAACGAGGTTAGAAATTGAATCTGACAAATCTTCAGGCATGTGATAGTGTTTAATGGCGATAAAGATTTCTTTCAATTAGAAATTCTGATTCTTAGTAACTGCAGAAATGCTCTTTGCATGTGTAAAATGAGAACATTTTTCTTTTCTTTAAAGTTGTTATTGTCAATATGTAAATAATTTTTATATGACTGTAAAATTTGGAGATGGGTGGGGAGAGGCAGCTTAATTTTCTTCATAATGCACAGCACTTTGAAAGTGCTTTTTGGTGGAGGATGAGGGGGTGGTGTGGCTTGGAACAGTCACTCTTCTTGATAGCAGAATTGACATAAGTTTGCTAACAAATATTTAGCATGTTCTGGGTATTTTAGCTTTGTTTTTCTAAGGCCTGTTATCATAGACCTACATTTATGATACAGTTTAAGTTGATTTTCTTATTTTATACAACATTTGTCTGATTTAACAAGGATTTGCTTTACCTAGACATAAATGAACAATAATAGATAGTGTAAGATAGCTAGCTGTTGGATTTGAGAATTTATTCTGTGAGGTAAAATGTCTTATGTTCCTTGATTGTCCTAGAGATGTTGATTTTAATTCCAAGACTGTTTACTCATTTTGTTCTGTGCACACAGTACGGAGCTGTGATTCTAGTTCATGAGTAGGTAGAATTTAAGTTTAATTTGATAGTACTGTACTAAATATAGTGGCTGATTTATGGGTTTCATTGATTTGCTATAATTTGCTAATATTTTTTAAAAATTTTGAGGTTGACAGTAGTGCTTTATCAAGATGTGGCTCAGGTCACATAAAATAGAAGATACTGAATGTAGGGATTGGGGCAGTTGTCATGTAATGCAGCTACTATGGGGGGGGGGAAATTAGTGCAGGGAAAGATAATGTAGTGTTGGTGTCAGAGTTCTTGTTATGTCCATTTAGACCTTTTCTGTGCTGCTATTCAAAACAAGGAAAGATCTTTACCTGTGGAGAATGTCCTGTTTCCATACTTAAATTCATAATGAGAAATACGTAGTGTTTATAGTAAGTTACCCTGGTGCACACGCTGCAGATACCAAACAAATGAAGACCTATATTCCTTCCTATAGTACTAGGATTTATTTAAACATTTCATCCGTATAAGTGGGGGTTTGCCTGCTTTGTATTCTGTAAATTGATGAGCACGATTTGGAAGTTGTGGAAAAGAACTTGTCTGTTGTGTTGTGTTTTGGGTGGTTTCTTAGTATATAGCATTCACAAACTCAGGATATGGAGCAGGTAAGATACATGTAAGGACTGTGGTTTGAGGGAGGTTGAAGAGAAAGGTTTTGAGGGGAGGTGTGGGGTAAATGGATATGTAGGTCAGGAAGCACAGAGCTGAGTGGGAGGGAACAAAGAGTTTGCCTTATTGAACCAACCTTATGATTAGTATGATTTTAATGTAATCAGCTTGCTTACTTTGAGAGTTTTCTTCTGTGGGTGTTTGCTCTGAGAAGACTACTGGTAGGAGTTTAGTTGGTAAAGTAAGGAACATGCTGACTCTTCTCAAGTGATACTCAGCTAGGGAAAAGTTGGAAGCTGCTGCCTAAAAGAGCTATGCATGTTAACAACTCCATATGAACATTAACTATACTTTGCATGGTATGCTTAAACAGTCTTGAGGAATTGATAATACTGTCCTTGTGCTCCAAATTGGAGGTACTTTTAGAATTGCTTCTTCCATAGTCCCTTCATCTATCCCATATTCAGATATGTTTGGAAAAGCTGGTGAATGTTGTTTGTGTGTTCCTACAGTTAACTGCAAAAATGGTTCTGTAATGCAGTGAGACGTTTTTCCTTCTGTTTCTTACTCTATGCTCAAATAGCATATAAAAACAAAGGCTATATAAAATGTCAACTGAAGGTACATATTTTTAATTCATAGTATTACATGGTTTTTTATAGGAGTTAAATGGAAATAAATGAACGTGTAATCATGAGTGCAGTGGTGTTTTCTGAGTTTCCACTGTTACCAGAACTGCGTTGAGTAAATATAACAAATCAGAAATAGAGGGGAGGGGAGGAGTAGCACGTGCTGGTACTGTAATTTAAACACAGTCTGTGAAGCATTACTGTGCAGTGTTTTTACATCTGTATTATCTTTACCTGCTTTCACTGCTTTGCAAAACTGACCAGCAGAAAAGTGGAAAAAATAAACCTTCATACTGGAGAATATATATAGTCCAGTCCAGTATATATAGGGCAGTCTTTACTATGTTGTGCCCTGTTTTATAAATAAATAGGCTAAAAAGGAAATAAACAAGTCTTGCTGCATGTGGCATGTTTCTCAGTGGAGCTGAATATTGGAAAACATAGGCAACCAAAGATGCAGTGTGCTTAATAGTACCTGTATTAAATGAGCTGTATCGTGGAAACTAACATGGCAGTGACACTATTTTAATTAATGCTGTAGTAACAGGGGGGTTCCTGTACGCAAGGGAAAACTGGCAGTAGTTGCCACATGCAGACAGATTAGAGCTTTGTTTACTGTTATATTTTTCTACAAATAACATTCCTGCCTATTTAGTGACCCTGCTACAGTGTGTCTGTAACTCTTTGACCTGGAATTGTTTGTGTGTATGTTTAGAGAGGGTAAAATATACATATCTTAAACCAAAACTTTTTAATAAGCCACTTTGTGATACCATCTACCTTATAACAGAAAGTCCCTTCAATGATTAGAAGGTGATAACTAATTCTACATAAGTTATTATTTTGGTGACTACTGCCCCATTTTATGATCGTCTGAATTTGTATCTATTCATTCTCACTTGTTTTAAATGAAGTAGTTACAAAATTTAGTATTTGGGGGGAAAATACCAACTTTCTGAATGTCAAAGAACATGTTACAAACATTTACTAATTCAGTGGAGCACATTTTTATTAATTGGAGTAAAGGGTTTCATTAGTAAGTTTCTAGGCATAGCAATTAGTTGCTTGGGGCAGGGAGAAAATAATACTGTTTTGTTCGTCCAGTTTGACCTATGATGAGGTCTTAATTTATGACCAGAGCTCTTGGATGTTGTGGTCATGCAAATACATAAACAAAGTTTGGGATTCATCTCTTCTAATGTCAATGTATTTGACCTAGTTACGTTCCCTTCTTCTTGAAGGAGAAAATAGGCCTGATTCACCTTCAATACGTTCCTTAAATTGATCAAATGAATTGCATTCTAACAGTGCTTATTTAGGTTCCTTTCTCATTCGTGGAGAGCAGGGTGACAAGGTCAGATGTCAGTGTCCACAAAGATGCTGGTGTTGAGGTGACCAACTCTGAATTATTTATCCCTTTAGGATGTCTAAAATAATAACAGTACCAGCCCCTAAACTTGAATATGCCTTAAAATAAGAGAAACTGTGAATTGGGAACATTGCTGCACAATTATTATTTAGTCCCAACAAGAAGATGGAAAATTTACAGCCTGATTGATAGTTCAGTACAAATACGCGTTGATCCACCAAGATACATACAAAACATGATGCAAGACATGGGTACAAAGTAGAGGTATCAGTTGGAGTACCTAGGTTTGAACTCAAATCACCAATAGAATTTATATTGCAGCTTTAAATGTTGTGTTTTTGCTGAAGGAAACGAAAAAGGGCATTCCATGTAATCCAGAAAAAAGTAACTTCAAGGATTATTAATGTAAGGAAAGAATGGTACCCAGTTAATGATGCATTGGATCCTAATTGATAACAATGCTATTTGAATATGAATTTTAATTGATACCAGTTCCAAATGAATCAATAACAAGCTTTGTTGTCAACGCTCAGTGTGTATTAGTAGTTTTATTTTTGTCCATGTGTACTTCTTGGAGCAGTGTTGCTTAATGGCATCAAGATAATGTTGATGCTTGTTATGAATAGCCTGCATTTGTTATTCATTAGCAAAACATGCTAATCATACTCAAAAGGTGAAGTAATCATTCATTACACTTTTGTATTTTCATTGAATTGAATACTTTTGTGAATGACAGTGCTGAATGTACTTCCCAGGTTTTCAAAACAGATAAATCTAAGCTCCCAAAGTTTTGTAGTTAGGGTCTGCAGAGAGCTAGTTGAGGTGCTTGACAGTCCAGCTGTCCTCATCTTTTCATGTGAAGTTGAAAGGCAGCTGCACATCACTTTCATATTACTGCTCTAGTGTGACTGGTTACTTAAATTACCACAGAGAGATTGTTTGGTTGTCAGTGGTGAGGGGAGCAGTCCATCAAATAATCTGAGGATGTAGTCTATGCACAGAAAGTTTGGGAACACTAATGATTGCTCACTAGCTAGTTCATTACAACTCCCTAGGCACTGAATATGAACTCATCATGCCAAGTTACTGGACCGTGCTTGAGATTCCAGGCATAACTGGCTTGGTTTGAAAGGCTCTGAAGTCACATTTAAAAATGACAAGTAACTAATCAATGAGAAAAGGAGGAGAATGTTTTATTCAAGGGTACAACTTCTAGTTATGGAACAACAGTCTAGGTTACAATATTCATGTTGAGCCTTATCTCACCATTGCTCTAGCTCTTATCACTGTAGCTGTTTGTTGGGGAAGTGGTAGTGGCCAGAGTAAGGGTTTGAGAATCTGACATACTGTAATGCTTGGAAAGAATCCAAGCAGTTCTTGCTTGGTTTTGAATGTGGCTGTTGTTGGCAGGCTTAACCTTTTGCTGTTAAACTTTGTGTGCTAGCAGGTCATTGTTGTGAATGCATGACTGTCCTAACTCTTGCTTTGTTTTGTCTTAGTCACATTGATCAAACAACAACATGGCAAGATCCTAGGAAGGCCATGCTTTCCCAGATGAATGTTACAGCTCCCACCAGTCCTTCCGTGCAGCAGAACATCATGAACTCGGCATCAGGTAAGCAAAATTTGTATTTATCAAAAAGATAATACAAACGAAGATACCACTAGCTATTTTAACAGGGGGGCGGGGGGGAGGAGGAGTCCAAATCTCACAATTGTCCTTCTAGTTATCCTGGTTTTAAACTTCAAATTTGTTGATGCTTGATGCATCAAGCAAGAGACTGATACTTAAGGTAGGAGAATTTGTATATTTATGATGTCAACAGAAAGTATCCTGTAGTTCTTTGGTTTGTGTTCTTATTTTTTCAAATGGATGATTCAAACATTTAAAGAAGGAGAATTTTTGTCTAATTTCTTCTGACTGAAAATGCTGTTAAATTGATGAAGACCAGAATTTCCATTAAATTAGTGTCAATTTACCTTAAAGCTCTGCAGTGTTCTTCTGCCTCCCCTTGCTCACTTACTAGACTTGGTAAACTCCCATTCAGTTACATTTCCTACATTTCTTATGAACATCTCATTTTTTCTGTCTTCTCTAAATAAATAAAGCAAACACTTGGAACATCTTGTTTAGAAGGAGAGACGTTTTAGTTTTCCTCTTATTTTCCTATCACTTCGAAAATCCTGTATCATGATGATTATTCCTCTAGCTGAGGAAGTCTGATATCTTTTCGTGGAATATAGAATTGTTTTTCTGCTAGTTTGGGGGGTCCGTCACTAGACAGCAGTAAAGTGTGCTTGTTCTTGCTATAGAATCCGCTGTATGTTTTCAGAGCTCTCTTGTCCAGATGGTGCAAAAAGCAAGCAGATAAATTTGGTGCCATGCTAGTTTGACTGCTGCACTCTTCCCTGTGCTTTGTCACCTTTTGTCTGTCACTGAGGTTCATGTTTTATTTCTTTTCTCACAGTGTGATTGTATTTTGTGTATGTCTGCTGTTCCTGTATTTCACAAAGGTTATTCTCTGGTGCTGCTTTTTGTTGTCCATTTAGACAGCTTTGTTTCATGCTGCAATTCATATGCTGCAGACAATACCAAAAGATTAACAGGCATGACAAACTGTGCTGTTCATGACTGAGTATTGGAGGGGAAGCTAATCAAACTTTTTGCTGGCTAGGCCAGGAGGTTGGATTATCCTGGAACAAATGAGAGTCCTGTTCAAGTTCAGGAAGTCGTGATTCGGGGCAATTAAGGTCTCAGGCTCTGATGTGAAAATACAATATCTGTGATTATTTTTTCTGTAAATATATCCCAGGAGACCTGCAGCAATAGCGATGACATGTTTTTGCAGGGACACTTCTGAAGAACAGGGAATAGGAAAAAGGAAACAATTCCCTTGATCCGTCTTGCCTTTTGGCATATCTGATTTGTGCTAAAACTAGATGCTTGCTGTTTGAATATTGATATAAATTCTGTGTTTAAAGATAACTCCTCAAAATTTACATTGTATCAAGAATTAACAGGAAAAAAATATTGATGGTGAAGTAGGATTCATGTTATGTACTTAGAAAGAAATGAAGGGTCCTTAGCAGAAAAATAAACTGGTTAGTTGTAAGTGGTAAAAATCTAAAAGAGAATCTAGCAATCGGTACATGAGGATTATTTTAAAAAGAAAATTAAGAATTTACATGTCATTCACTGACGTAAGTGTGTGAGCAAGTGATCCTGTATAGATCTTGTTGCTCATGCAATAGAGTTGAGACGTTTAAGTGGGTTGTCTTGTGACTTGAGAAAGCACTTATTTGAATACAAGTTCATTAAGCATTTATTTTTAATTTCACAGATGAAACTGTATTGAATATGAACTGAAAATATCGTAAAGGTTTTTTTCCCCAGTGCTCTGAATTTGATAAAGTACATGAAGAAATCAGAACTTCTGTGTATATTAAGTTATAAGTTTACGTGGCATTGCTTTTTTTGAGCTTAAATCAGTTGAAGGTAGTATGACTTGGAACTGGCTCTTTGGATGCACCTGCTTACTCTTAACTTACTTGCATTTAATGAAAGTCTGTTTTGAATTAAATAATATTGAACCTGCATTTATTGTATAGGATTCTGTTTCTGATACCTGATTTGGCAAATCTTTATGTACTAACTTTAAGTTATGACTGTATATTTGTTTTTACTAAAGTTTCTTATATCTGGTTCTGTTACTTTTTACTGCTGAATTCATGGTAACTTATGCTTTCTTGGTGACCTCATAAAGAATGAGAGAAATGGAAAAATCAAGTAACCACTTCAGCACAGTGGAACTTAAGTCTGAGTGCTAACGTCATAAATATAAGACTACTTAATGTTCTAATTAGGATATTCATCCTCAAGAACTGGGAAATAAAGTTGAGACCTTTAAGACAGAAATTTCCTGTTATGAAATATTGCTGGCAATGAAACATGCCCCTGTGCTTTGAGAGCCTTTCATGAAAGATATTGGGAAAAACCAAGTGCAAGTATTGTGACAGCTGGAGGTCACTGACTTGCAAAAAAATGTTTGAAATGCCACAAGGGAGAATGTTTTCCTTTCTGTATGGTTCATCCTTGTACAGCGCTCAGTAATTGTAACTTCTGATTAAGGGCTACTGTCCAAGTTTTAGTATATTTAGTTGCAGACTGCCATAAGAGCTTGTGAGTGAAGTTGCTGTGGTAAAACGTAAGAGAGATTTTTAGGAGCTGTCTTGAAAGCCATTGGAAGCTTCCACTATTTAGAATTAAGAACAGGAAAACAAACTGAAGAGGGAGAGAGAGAACAGAAAGCTGCTGTCTGCATATTGAAGATAAACCTGTTGTCTTTTCTGGATGAATAGGATAAGTGGAGCTCAGGGGAAATGGGAAGAAAGCAAAACTAGAAGGTGTGGTAAGGCTGAAGGCAAGTCAGAAGAGTGTTTAAAATCAAAACTGGTATAGGGAAGATGTAGTTTAGCATGAGGTTGAGATTTTTAGGTTGTTTTTCTTAAGAAATCCCACCTCTTGAGGCGGCTAAGACTGGATGAGAATCCAGGTATTTTGCTGCAAGTTATGTTTCTTTAAGGAAATTAATAGGCATCTGAACCAGCTTCGTCTGTTCCTGGCATGAATTTGTGAATGAACTATTTTGAGTGTTAGTAAGCATACATCCTTTACAGGAGGGCATCAGTATGTGGAAAGTGAGGATTTTTTTTTTCCCTGCTTGTTTTGGTTCTTTGATTTTTTTTTTTTTTTTCTGTCTCAGTCTTGCTGAACTTAGCTTGCTACATGTAAAAAACTAAAATGGTTTGGGCCATATGTATGCAGAGAAACGCAGTGCTTTGCTAGATGGCATTTGTTGGTTAATCTTCTGTGAAATAGGACTGCATCTTCACATCAATAATGGAAATAAAACAGGCCTGTTACTTCTAAATATACAACATGTATACAAAAATTAGCCTTGACTGTTGTGATTTTTTTTCTGTGTGTTTCTAACTTTATGTTGTTCTGTCTTGATTAAAACAAGACAAAAAAACAACAAAAAACCCCCCAAAACAAATGGTACATTGTTCTTCTGAGCAACCTCTCCTATACATTTCTTACTGAGGTAAAGTTATAAATTTGAAAGTAAACAATGCCTGTTTCTTATACAATTACAGTTGATATAACAGAGATGGGATAGTAATTGTATTTATATACATCCAGTCTTCAGATACTACTACTTCCTGAATCACGCTTGACAGCACTGCTTACTTTAGCCTCTTCTGCTTGTGCATAGACATTAGACAATTAGCTTTGGAGCAGATTACCTGTCTTTGTCCTCTTGTCTTCCCTCTTACATTGCAGTTTTGAATTGGGCTTCCCGGTGAAAGTTTGTAGACCTAGTGTAATTCTGTTGTCTCTTAGGGGAAGGCTATAGTGCCATCTTAAAGGTTGGTAGGAACACGGGACACTCGAATTCATAACTCTTGAGGTTGGTTTTTTTTTCCCCCCTTGGTGGGCAGGAGGGTAGGGAGGAATATGCCAAAACCTAAAACAAGTTCTAGCTCTTCTCTTAATTCTTGCTCACTTCAGCTGCAGGTGTCTCTTCTATGTAACCAGTCATACTACAAATTCTGCTTTGTGTACAGTCAACACTACATACGATCTGTTGTGAAACTCAAGTTTATAAGTATCTGCATGACAGTAACGTTCCTTGCTTTCTCCATCTGCAAAAAACCCACCCCTTTTTTAATAGTGTTTTTTGTAAGTTTTACTGATTTGACAGAGTAAAGATGGACTTCAGGTAAATTTTGTAGACTTCTATTTTTAAAAAGTTTTGGAATCACAGTGACAGTGATTGAAGGGAAAAATTTCAGCTTTCACAGAGAAAGATTAGGAAGGTTCTTAGAGATCAGTGTTTGTATTAGGTGAAGGTGATTCCTCCTGTTGAACATAGGTGTTGCAGTTCCTAGGTTGTCCATGCATATTCTTTTAATATCTATATATAGATGCCCTCTTAATATGCATTAACCTTGTGATAACATACAGCTTTATTTACATTTATTTTACAAGTATGTATCAGAAACTGTAGGGACTTGCAAGATTTACTTTGCAAGTAATGTATCCCAGCATAGCTGGGATACATTTTTGCTTTTGTTACTCTTTCTGTTGCTTTCTATCTGCCAGCAGTGAGCTATGCTTTGCGTTCAAGACTGTGTTTCATGACAAAAATGGTATATTGAGAAAGTAAAAACTCACAAAAAATTGAGACATGCACCAGAGACATGCACATAGACTTTTAAAATTACATGTATTTATGTTAAGTTACAGCATTATATAAATATTTAGTTACAGAGGTATGCCTTATCAGTAGTTCTGTAAGGATGGCTTACATTTGGAAATTGGAATCTAATTTTTGCATAACCTTGTCTTTTGAAAGTACTGCAGTAAATGGTGAGTTCCCTAGAAGGGTTGTCTCTCCCTGTGCAAAAAATTTCATAGAATTGTAAGCTTATGGTTGTGGTTATAGTCAATTGACCTAGGAGGCATCAAACAGAACTAGTAGGAGACCATACCACAAGGGTATTGTTGGTGCTAACTGTTTACAAAGGTTCAAGGGGAGACTGGAAAAGTACTTGAAAGAGAGATGCTTTGGCACCTAGTAAGTAGACAGAATCTGGCTCAAGAAATCACCTGAGGTAGTTGGAGGCCAAGTGACTATTCATAGCCACTATATATACTTTTTGGGTCTATATGTGTATCCAGTGCTTTATTTAAAAGTTTATAGAGTCTGACAGTGACTAAATGGTCTGCTTTCAGCAATAAGATCTGTCCATCACCCCAGGCTAGGTGCCTGGGCTAAATGGTTAGACCCAGCATGGCTGGTTTTGTACAACATGGGCTACAGTAACTATGGAAATGTTAGTGAGAAGGTCTGAAGAGCAGCAATATAGAGCTGATGTAACTTAAGTCACTTAAAAACATAAGCTAATGCTGGGAATTCTGTTCCTATTGAGCCTTTTGGGGGAAAAGGGACATGTAATTGCACAGGAATTTTTCTAGATACTCTGAGTGAATGTGTCTGCTATTCTTCACCATGGTTTTCCATTTTTCCTTTGTTACTTGCCTCTTAATACAGAGTTTGTCAGACAGTTAGTTACAAAATCAGACTTGACAGTCTTCTGGTTTCACAACTGCTCACAAAACCAAGTAGGAATTACAGAAAGCAGTACTAATCAATTTTTGAACTAACATTTCGACATGTAGGGCTGACAGCAGAAACACGAGAACAGTTTACTGGCCAAGTAAGAAAGCAACATCATGATTAATGTCAAAAGTTTCTAGAGAGAAAAGTTCTGTTTCTGCAGCCATTGATGGCACTTAGCAAGGAAGACTTGCTACTGTGACAGCCAGGTGACCAGACAGACCTTTACTGTCCTGTCCACAGCTGTGCATTTTATTTAGAAAGACAACCTTGCCTAGGTTTGTCTCTAGTAAGCTAGTACTCATCAGATCACTAAATCTAATAAGCAGTATTCTTCCACCAGGTAGGTGGACTGATCAGCTCCTGGCATCCTGCTTCAAAGGCATTTTGGTTCTTATTTACTACAAAGGAACATGCTGGACCAGTATATGCTTTACTCATCTAGTTTTGTTATTCCTAGAGCCAGCTGGGTTTTTTGGGTTTGCAGTTCAAAAAATAAATTTCTTGCTGAGTTTCATCTCCAAGTGATGTGTGGCTTAGAAGGACTCTGAGGAGAATGGTAGCGAGAAGGTCTGCCCACAAGGCTAGGGTGTTGGCTTAGCAGTCAAGGAACATTTTTGGTTCTTCATTGGCTTCTACACTTGGATGATGTGGGGCATGTCACTGTGCTTCGGTGCCCCAGTCTTACAAAATAGCATCTCACTGATGAGCTGGCTGGTCTTGGGTATGGTAACAAAGTACAGGGTTCTTTGCACTGGAGCTTTCAATACTGCATAGAAGTGCTGTGAATATGTTAGGATTTATGAATGTTTTGCGGTGTTGTCACTCTTTCTTGCCTGTTCTGTTCACTAGCCTCTGATAAAAGCTGAGGTACTCTTGTTACTTGTATGCAGCATTTAAAGCTTGTGAGCATTAAGGATGGGAAGGAAATGTCCAATGGTTAGATCACTGTTTTTCCTCACTTGAAAACCTGTAGCTCTAGCGGTGGAGTAGTGAGGTTGCTAGAGAAAGGCAGTTTTCTGAGCCAAAATGCAAGAATTTAAATTAGAAATGGGGTTTGCAGGGGATCTTCAAAGACCACAGTAAGAAATTCTTGTCCTGGTTATGCCTTGGGATATTACTGGAATGCAATCGAATGATTATTTTACTCCTTTTGACATTTCTTCAAGAACATCTTTTGAGATTAAGCAAACGAATCTATCCATGATAAACATGACTTTAGGACAAAATGACAGGCAAAGAGCTAATGTACTTTGAACACGGATATAGTAGGTACTTCAGGCATTTATCAGATACACACACATTTTTGTGTGTATATCTGAATCTCGTGTGAAATGATGATGTTTGTGCATACTTAATGTATCTTACATTATGCAGAATGGTCTCTTAGTCCAAGTCAGATGGCTTTTGCTAGTGTATTACTACATTACACTGAGGAAGAGTGGAAGGAGCGGTTGAAATATGATGGCTTCCGGCAGCAGGCCTTGTTCTAATTTCTTTTACATTCTTAACATTTGTAGTGGATCTTTTGCTATATCATCTTAGGATTGTACTTAAATCTAAAGAAATACAGGCAAGATGTTCCTGTATCTAATTGAGGTATTTTTAAAAGTCCGTATCTATGTGAGTATAAGAATTCAAAAACATACATTTGTAAAGCACCTGCCAGATGAGATGAATGTAACTTTAAGAATAGTTTTCAGTAAGCAAAATACAGATGAATGTACATGATCATATAGAGATGGGAATGAGTGGTTTATGAACTGTATAGCGATGAAAGGTGGTTTTCTTGAAAGCTGCGATTTGGAGCATAAGGGAAACACGCCTCAAGACTCTGTGTTCAGACATTGTCTCTGGACTCCAGAACACCATCACCTACCTCCCTTGTACCATTTCCTAAATGTAGGTTTCCCTGCCTGTGCCTTCTTGCTCATAGAGGCATAGCACTGCTGTTCGTAGCACTGTGTCTCTATGTCTGCTCCTGATGTTTTCTTACTTTTACTTGTTCATTGCTTGTTTGCCTCCTGTTCTTCAGGTTTGTGTTTTTGCTTGCTTAAGCCTTTAACGCTTTCACAGAAGGTTATGGTATGAGGTAGAGGGAAAACGAGTTTTGTCACTTTTTAAATTGTTCGTGAAAGATAGAGGAATATTTCAGGATCTCGTCAGTGTTACCTTGTTGCTGCTGCTGGGCCTTAATCACTAGATGAACTTTCCCATGAAAGGTAGAATATTTCTATGCTTATTCTTTTTCCTGGTGCTCATGCTGGTTTCATTCTGGCAGGCTTGACTTATTGCTGGTTTTGTACTATAGTGCTGTAGCAAAAGGTAGTGTCAAAAGTATATGGAAGGATGCAAACAAGTTATAAAATTAAAGTCCAAATCCTAAATCAAAATGATAGAAGTGCTTTCTGTTCTTTGATTTCCCACCCGCCATTTCTTTGCCCTTATCCCAGAAATGTTAGGCATGAGCTTGAAACTCTTCTGTTTCATGTACTGTTATATATGTAAAATGTTGGAATTTTTTTTAGATCAATTTCAGCTGGAGCAAACAAGAGCCCGCCATCAACTCCTTCCTTCTATATTGCAGGCCCACTCCCCGATGGATGGGAACAAGCTATGACCCAGGATGGAGAAATTTACTACATAAACCATAAGAACAAGACCACATCTTGGCTAGACCCAAGGCTTGACCCACGCTTTGGTAAAAGTTCATCTCACTTCAGAGTTTTTGATTCGCTTCAGTTCACTTAGCTTTAATTTTGCAGGCATATTTTGAAAACTTTTTATAGTACGATTAAAATATATTTTCATTTGAATTATGGAGACCTTATTTAAATCATTATTTAAAAAAAAGAAAAAGGATTAGCATATATCCTGTAGGAGTGTATGTCACCAAAGTTTCTAATGCTAGGGGTTGGGATTTTGCCATATGATCCATACTGTTCCCAAAATTGGTGGCATTCAGAAATTACTTACCTAGAGACAGCCAAGCTCATTCTTCCCTTTAAAATTGCAAAACTTTACCACAGAAGAATCTTTTAATTCCCAAACAAATATTTACTTTCCTTGGCTCTAACCTAAAGAGGTCATTGTCAAATAATAATTTATGCTGTTTAAATAGACTTGAAACATATACCAGCTTATAATTCCAGCTTGTCACAGTGATGATCATGACAAAACTTTTGTTTTAAACAATATGGAGAGAAATGATTAGTTTTGTTGTTTCTACTTTAATAATCTTTTTGAGGGGTAAAGACTATCTAATATTGGAAATAGAAATAGTAAAGTAGGGATCACAAAGTCTACATGTAAAAATTTAACAAAATAGAACTGATTTTTTATAATGTTTCTGATCTATATGGAAAGCAGAGCTGCAAACATTTAAATAAAATATTGGCACTGATGACTATGAATAGCAATAGCATATAAATTAAGACACTCTAAACTAGTTTTAGATTGACCAAGTGATTGTTCTGATATATTTAAGGTGGTATTACAACTTTAGTTTTTGTGTAAAGCCATGACCTGTGTGTGTAAGCTTTATTAGCTGTATTAATTTGCCCTTGATGTGTTTTCCCAATAACTTACTATTTTCAACTGCTTTGGATTTTAGTTATTTTTCCAGAGCCATGGAAAAAACAGTAGGGGTAAAAAAAAGAAGAGATCATTGTGGTTTTCAGGCTTTAGTTTTGGACTCGGTGCAACTAAATGAAAACAGTGTGCAGATCACTGAGTAGGTCAGGCTGAGGGGATACAAAGCCTTTGAAGCTTTACAGGGGTTGACCTAACAACAACTGTGGGCCCCTTTTGGGAGAGGCATTAACTCCATGAATGCCATATAAACACATAGCTGCAAAACTCAACAGTCGCTGTTCTGTTTTCTTTTTCTGAAATGGCTGTTGGAAATTTCAGCATTTTTGTTTTGTAGGTTTGAGTGCTTACTTTAAACATCCATTTGCTCTTATGGAGAACACCGGATTGTCACACACTGTTTATAAACTGCTCACCAGCTTGTACACAGGTTGAACCACTGTGCAACTTGAGCCCAAAGGTGGGGCGTATGTTGAAGGTTGTCAGCTTTGGCAAATGTCCATGCTGGCTTTAACACCAGCCAGAGTGGCAGACCTGTTTGCGTGTTGCAAGAGGAGTGTGTGGGTAACTTGCAACTTCACAATTACTTAATATGTGAGTAAGGCTGAAAAGGAAGCAGTCATTTTGAAAATCAGTGTTTCCTTTTGCAGTTAAAAGAGGCAAGTCAATTATATTTACTTAAGTAATCTTGCAGGGTATGTATTTTTTTTTTCTTTATATTACTTTATAATTCCCAATGATGAGCTGGAATTATAAAGGAGTGTGGAAAAGGCTTTAATTGACAGAGGTCGTGAGTGAGATGAATCTTGTTTCTCAGAACTATTTTGTACTCCTGTAAATAGTATGGTCTAACTGTAAGGGCAAAAACTATTTGTCTTGTGCATACTGAAACTCCACCAAATGTTAAGGTTGTGCAGTTAAACTGAAAGAAGTTAGAAATGTCCAAAAGACTGCATAAGGGTTTCTTGCTGCATAGCTTCCCTTTTTGGGCCCACTGTGTATGTGTATCCCAGACAGGCTTGAGTACATGCCAAGGCTCTTTATTTTGTGGTCGGACTTTTAATCTGTTCCAGACCTTTTCAGTCAAAGAGCTCAAGTGTAACTGAAAGGGGCAGGAAAGGGAAAAAAAAAAAGGCATGTGGGCTCTTCTGATCTAGAGTGATCGCAAATAGAGACAAGCTGCTAGCTGCTGTTGAGCTTGAAGGAGTTTTCCTTGAAATCTTAAGTTGTACACATTGTATTGTGGTTTATGTTTTTATCATTTGAGCCAAGAAAATACAAAATCTTATTCGTGTTGCTTTCTCACTTGTGACCTCCTTAAGTCACTCCAGTAAAGAAGAAAAAAATCTGTTTGACAGAGCTAACTTACTGAGCCTTGCATTTATTTATCATGTGGAGATCCTCAACAAATATGTGCTGTGACCCTAAATAGCATGTGAATGACTCAGAAGTTTACCTTTCTGTGCTTAATATAGGTTGAAAATCCTGTTGGGTTTTTCCCCCCGAGGATCACCATACTCTTTTCTATTCCTGTGTTTTAACATAAGGGCTTAGTTTTCACTATTTTTTTGACTACTAACACTTTCAGAAGCAATCCTAGGTAAATTCATCTTTCCAATGTTGAAGCTTTTGATTATTACAGTGATACTAATGTTGATTGAAAATGAAGGAGAAATTAATTTCTTCCTTGATACTGCCACTTTCACCAATCTGAAGAACCATTGAAAACAATAAAGCTTTTGAATGGTATGTGCAAACATACTCTTCTGTTCCAGTATTCAGAAACAGAAGGTTTGAAGAGTCTTTGCCCTTACTGCTTCTGAACTCCCAGCTTCCAGGGAGACAGCCCTTATGGCTCTGTGTTCCTCATCAGATGGAAGCTTTGCATTCACCTTTATTTTCTCTAGTAGGTGTGCATATACCTCTCTTCTTTTCTTCCTTTTTTTTTTTTTTAAGTAGTGCTGGGAATTTTTCATTAATGTGGCTAGAAAAGAGAGAGGAAGGAGGATCAGTTTGAAGAAATTGTTTTAGGTGGACACACCTACAGACTTACTTGGTAAGGGGAATTTGGGTATTGCATTCATGCTTTTAAATGGACGATTAAAGGATGCAGTTAATATGGATTCTTTCTTGGAGCAGGCTTTTAAGACTAATGCATCAGATAAGAGTCCCTGTCAGAATACTCGGCTGTGGACTAGGCTGAGTCTAAAACCTGAGTGCTGCAAGTTGAAGATAAGAACTTTGGTCCAAGACTCAGATCTAACATCTTTGAAGTGGGCTTGAGGTCTTCAGCTACACCACTTAAACAGCAGTGAAGTCTTGTTGTGGCTCAGATGTTGATCCTTCAAGTCTGCGTATTTGACTTTAGAACAGCTTTGCATTAGGAGAATTCACAAACTTTAAAATCTAGGAAAGAACTAAGTATGTGTGAAAGGAGGGTCTTCTCATGCCAGGCACAGGCAATCATAAAAGATGACATGGGATCAAAGGAATGGGGATGGGAGGGGGGGTCCTTAGGCCTGTGTCAGCAGGATTCTTTGTCTAGTGGAGCATCTGGTACAAACATGCTGTCCTATCTTCTCAGTGCCTTTGCAAGCCTCGTAGTAAGGTTTTTCAAATTACTTTTTTTTTTTTTTTTTTTTTTGGAAGGTTATTTCTTTGAGAGAATTGGACTGTCAGGTTGAGCTTGTGTTTTGGACAGTTTTGTCTTTTACTAGCTTCTGCTATTGTCCATTGGTCATTCTTCACAGATCCTACTGTTTTTCTTAAGCCTTCCAGATAAGTTAATACGTTTTCTTGTAGTCAAAGAAAGTCTGGGTAGGAAGCAGGTCAGCTATGCATGCTGAGTGGCTGGAGTTGGTGAAGTTAGAACATCATCTGCATTTTCTATAAAATTAAATTTCCTAGAACCAGTTGAAGTTCAGAATCATTCAAATTTATTGCTACAAGTTTCCAAGAACAGGCTTTTGTATCAAATACCATTAAAGGGATTTTAACTGTTGTTTAAGTTTGCAGATGATAGGACTTGGTTTTGAAATGCAACTTAAAATAATTTACCTTTTGAGGATATTTTGTTTGTTGAATTCCAAGATGGGATGGTGAACTTGAAGTGCGAAAATACTGGCAACTAGCAGTTGATTTCTGTGTCTCTATTGGGTTAATGTAAGTCTTATGTTTAAGCAGTACTACTCCGTTATAGTAGTCAGACAAGTCTGCCTGCAGGAATTGGGGTGAAACAAGATAGTGCTTCAGTTTTCTTGTTATTTTATTCCAGACTTCAGTTTTATAGGCTTGTTACTAGTGGTCATACTGGCGTTACAAACGCCCAGTCTTTTTCCTTCTGTTCTTTCAAATATTGGAGCTGCCATATGGGGTATGAAGCAAAAGATGTGACCTCAGATTGAAATCATTGCCACGACTTTATTTTTATCACTCCCACTTAGAGATTATGTTTTTTGAAGTTCTGTATGAATTTTGGATGGGGGGAAGGCAAGGCAAGACAGTGTTTAATATCGTTATGGAAAGTGCCATAGGGGCTTTGTGTACAGTAGCTGCTTGAACTACATAAATAGGAAAAGGAATAAAAGCGATGATAACAGTAGGAGTATAGAGAATGCACGTCAGGATTTTCTGCTTTTTTTTGTAATGTAAGAACATTATACCTTTGAAACAATGAAAAGGGCTTGTTCAGAAATACTGAAGTAAAATGTACCTGTAGATTTCATTGAAACATGTATTTATCATTTCCATTTAAAAAAACCACCAAAACCAACCACACAAGAAACTTGAAATGCACTTAACCTTTGGAGCATCTGCTAATTTTTAAGTATCGGAAATTAAGAGGAAGTATTCCATAGTATTGCTTTCTTATCCCTTACCTGTCTAGCACTTTGTTTAATATGTCTTTCTTCAAGTCAGTTTGTACAAGCCTTGCCAGAGGCAGATTTGTGGACAAGATAGAACTAGAACCCTAGACTGGAAAACTTTTTTTTGGCCTTTGTCTGGTCAAAAAAAAGCCTAGACCTTATGCCTGGTCACAGTGGTGTTTCAGATGTTTTAAGTTCCAGATCTGCATTCCCTTTTTGCACAAAAGCAGAGCATGAGCCACAG